TGGTAAAGCCCCCCTCGGTTAACTGTCTAGTACTCCCATCCCCCCAAAAAAGAAATGGCTTCCCTTAAGACTAAGGAGCTTATGTGGCGGGCTTACTCTTTCCTTTGAATACTCCTGCATCCCARTATGACCTGTGTCTGGTTCAAATCACCAACCGGTTCCTTCCTGCTGGCCAGAACGAAAACAAAAGTAACCACTTTTCTTTCCTTTTCTGTAGTAAATTGTTTTCAGAAATTGGTGTGCTCTGGAAAACCTGGGCCACTGTGACCGTCTGGCTGGCAGAGTTGGGCCTGCGCATCTGATCTCCCCAGAGTGAAGGGGGCCCCCCGGGAACCCTGCTCTCCTCGATCCCACGGGCGGGGCTGAGACTCCACTCTGACGACCTCCAGGCTGCCTTTCCCAGAGCCTCGCCCGCTCAGGCCTCCCGGGCCCCGAGCTCCCACTCTGTACTGGACACTGATCTTGGCTCATGCGACTTCTGGCCCGTACATTAAACACTCCGCACTCATCGACACAGAAGAAAACCCACCTTCACTTGGTTGTTTGTGGTGCTGGGATCGAACCCGGCCTCGCACACGCCAGGCAGGCGCTCTGCCGCTGAGCGGCATCCCCAGCCCCCTCTCACCTGTACTTTTATCTAATTTTTCAAAAAAAGAAAGAGATAAGACAGGAAAAAGGGGGAAGGGACCGACGCAGGGCGACAGGAGAGGGTCTGGCCAGGGGAACCGTCTCCCAGGCTCGCGGGGGCTGTCCCTGCGTGAAGTGACGGCCCTGCTGCCCTGGCAGGCGTGCGTTTGGGCAACGGCTGTTTGGGGTGGAGAGCCTCGAGGTCTGGAGGGCTTTCCTGCTGCACTCGACTCACCCACTCTGCCACTGTCACCTCCCAGCCATCTAGATAAGCAAGGCCAGGTCGGAACAAAGCCAGCGAAGAGCAGTAGGCCAGGTGCGGGTCACATGCCTGAGGCAGAGGATCCCAAGTCTGAAGCAGCAACTTAGCAAGGCCCCAAGCGACCTAGGGAGACCCTGGGATGGGGCTCAGTGGGCAAGCACCCCTGGGTCCAGTCCCCAATACCAAAAAGAGAGAGAGAGAGAGAGAGAGAAAGAGAGAATGAGAAATAGGAAAGTGAGCCACGAATATGTCAGACTCTGCAACCCCCAGCTTCTCTTCCTAGAAGGCCTATTTGAGGACCTTCTGCTGTCGCCAGGAAGTCCTGAGCACTGGTCCTGAGCATGGGCACGCGGCGAGAAGAGCTRCAGGACCGGACCATCGTCAGGATCGCGGCTCACCTGCCCGACCTCATCGTCTACGGAGACTACTCTCAGGAGCGACCCTCCGTGGACTACTTCGATGGAGTCCTGATGTTCGTGGACATTTCAGGCAAGTGCAGAAGGGGCCCTGTCCAGTGGGCGTGAGCCGCGGCTGGCGCTTGACTCCTGCCTGCGCTGTTCCTGAGGACRCCCTCCACCAGGACACAGGCGCAGCCTCTGGGCTGGCTCTCTGGTCCTCCCCACCTCAACTGCCAGTCGGGGGCAGAGCTTCACGAGGACCACGTCCCACACCAGGGAGGGGACTCCAGGCTCCAGCGTCCCTACTCCTGTTTCACTGACTCATGCCCCAACCCCACTCCTGCTCCTATCACAGCAAACTCAGAAATGATCGCCCTCGGTGTTTACGTCTCAACACTGAACTTGCCACTTCTTCAAAGGAGTGGAAATGTGTGTTTTTATTCTCCTGGAATGAAAGTTCTATTCCCAGTTGCAGGAATCGCAGCCATCACTGGACAAGTTGAGAGTCTGAAAAAAAGAGCCATCTGGAACCTCTCCTTGGCCCCTAAGATAATGAACACAGGTAGAGGAGGCTGCATGTGTGACACCTGACCAGCCAAAAGATCGTTAAGAAGAAACCCTGAGCCATGTGCAGTGTGCACCCCTGTAATCCCAGAAAGCCAGGGCCAGGCTGAGGCAGGAGCATGGGAAGTTGGAGGCCAGCCTCAGCAATTTAGTGAATCTCTCTCTCTCTCTCTCTCTCTCTCTCTCTCTCTCTCTCTCTCTCTCTCTCTCTTTCTCTCTCTCTCTCGGTACTGGAGATTGGCATTTACCATTGAGCCACATCCCCAACGCTTTTTTGTATTTTATTTAGAGACAGGGCCTCACTAAGTTGCTGAGTCTGGCTTTGAATTTGCAATCCTCCTGTCTCAGCCTCCAGAGCCACTGGGATTACAGGTGTGTGCCACCKCACCTGGTGTGGCCCTTTCAGGGGATGTAGCTCAGGGGCCGAGTGTTCTGGGTTTAACCCCAGTACCAGAAAAAACAAAAAGGAAAAGAAACAAACAAGTCCCCTGCTCTCGAGCGCAGCCATTGTCCGCATCTTCTAGCTCCGCTCGTTCCTCCGAGTGGCCAAGAAAGCCAGCTGCACTTTTGTTGCAGGTTTCACTGCGATGACAGAGAAGTTCAGCACAGCCATGTACATGGACCGCGGGGCCGAGCAGTTGGTGGAGATCCTCAACTACTACATTAGCGCCATCGTGGAGAGTGAGTGTCCCCACGGCCCCGGCTGGAGGAGGGGTTGACGCCTGCTCCTTCCCTATGTGTTGTTTGTGGCCAAGTGCAGTCACCCAGCTGACTTCCTTCCCCTGTGCGGCCGGAAGCAGGCCTTTCCCTGCATGGGCTGTGGCACACTGAAGGGGGTGGACAAGCCTCAGGGCACAGACGGCCCAAGGGAAAGGTGCTGTGCACCCAGAGGGGCTGAGGCGCAGGCTGCCCCCAGCATGCTCAGCTCTTCTGAAATCTGCCCTCCATACAGCCCAGACTAAGGGAGAGCGTGAGCAGATCCCAGTGGCAAATAATGAAGCCAGGGCCAGGGTCTCCCCACCGTGTGTCCTGAAGCCCTCCCAGCGGGGTCAGGTCCCCTTTCCACCTCTGCCGGCCTCTGGTTTGCAATGATAATTTGAACTGTTCATGAAGAGAAGGGTTTGCGGGTGGGGTGATCTCTATGCCCACAGGGCCGTCGGCTCTGAGTTCCCTGGCAATGCCGTAAGGTCACCCTCTAGGCAGCGCTTCAGGCTCACAGAAGCAGACCTGGCCGATTCCTCCTGCACCCTGCTCAGCACGTAGCTCTCAGCAAGTCCGTGCAGACGCGCAGCTCAGAGAAGAAAATGTCCCTTTACAGCGCAGTGGAGACAAACCAGCACAAACCCGCAATGACCCCGCGGACTGCCATCTCCCCACTTCCTGCCTCCTGTGCTGGTGGGGTCCTGTCACTTGGGCACACACATGTGCACACACACTCACACAAGCCCACATGGTCAGCCATCCCCATAGGCACAGAGTGGAGCCCCGAGGCCTGGCCCGGCGTGCTCCTGACGGCCTGGAGGCACCCCTGGGCCTGGCGGGAGGTGTCTTGAGACCAAGCCTGTCCTCCGAGCTGCTGCACCTGTGGCAAGGACCCCGTGGCCAGTGGCGGAGGCAGAGCGAGCTGACCCCCTTGTCTCTCCTCAGAAGTGCTGATGTTCGGGGGAGACATCCTGAAGTTTGCAGGTATGGAGGAYGCACGGGGGCTGGCTGCGAGTGCACCTCACCAAAGCTGCCCTCCACTCAGGCCCCAAGTCCCGCGTGTCTCTCCCAAAGGTGACGCGCTGCTGGCGCTGTGGAAGGTGGAGCGGAAGCAGCTGAAGAACATCATCACGGTGGTGATCAAGTGCAGCCTGGAGATCCACGGGCTGTTCGAGGCCCAGGAGGTTGAGGAGGGGCTGGAYGTCCGCGTGAAGATAGGTGAGCTCCTGGGCCGCTGCGGGGCCCAGGCCGGGCCGGAGAGGGTGGCCTGGAGGCGGGCGGAGCGAATGTGGGCCGGCCGCGACGCTGCCCAGTGGACTACCACAAAAGCAGCGTGGCTCCTTCAGTAGCTGGCACACGGGCACCAGCGAGCAGAGGGCCCTGGTTAGAGCCGCGGCTGGCATTACTCTATCTCGCTGTTTCTCGAGATCATGTGGCATTAAGCACAACCGAGGGTAGCTTGCCATTGGGTAGATTCAGCGAGGACATCAGATGGGCCACCTGTCCCCCTTGTAGGAATGATGTGCAACAACAGCCSGTCCACGGCTCCCGCTGTCTGCAGCAGTCCCTAAGGTCAGGCGGAGTGCGGCTCCTGCCGCTGTGTTCCCACAGTGCTGCRGACACTACGCAGCCAGCTCTCCCCCTTGACCACCGTCCCAGGGTGCAGGCATCCCTGTGCCCATTTCACAGGCGAGGAATGGGATCCTGCTGTGCAAACCATGAGTCACAGAGCAACGTAGCRGATGTTGGTGTCAGTGTCCGCTCGGCTAAACCCTTTACCCCAGGAGCCTCTGTCAGAGCCGATGGGAACGTCAGAGGTCACCCAATTAACTGTTCCTCGCCTCCTTTAACCTCTGCCCCCTTTTGCTGTTATTTTAAATTTCAAATAAATTACATGTTCTGTTGTGGAAAAAGAAAGCCCTCTTTTTGTTTTCCAAGCAAACACCTACAGAGACCGACCTAGAACCCTTCTTGAGAATGACAGGAGCCCTAGTCCTCAAGACTCCTTTCCCCTCCCCTCTGGCCAYGTCTAAATGCGGGACTCTAAGGTTTCATTTTGGTTGAAGCCTCAGTCTCTTATAAAATGAAAATCCTCCCCAAATCAGGATTATTAGAGTTGTTTTCTATTGCCATTATGTACAAATAAACTAAAGACCAGGTAAAATAACTTTGGGCATTGGTAGGGACATCTGGGGACAGAATTGTCACAGAAAGGCTAATACTAGTAGCTGAAATTTCTAGCTTCAACAAATGGGGCATTTCAGAAGACCTGAGCCTGGAAGGGACATTCTCTGATCCTTATGTAAAACTTTGTAAATGGGATTTGCCTTGAGGTAGAGGAGTCAAGATTCTGACTCCTCCMACAGCTTGTGCTGCTGGGAATCCCCAGGACTTGTGCCCACCTGTGGCTCCCCTGCTTGCCAGGGCTGGCTGCTGGCCACATCTCCATGCTGGTCTTTGGAGATGACACACGCAACTACTTCCTGGTGATTGGACAGGCAGTGGATGATGTGCGCCTTGCACAGAACATGGCCCGAATGAACGATGTCATTCTGTCACCCAACTGCTGGCAGCTCTGCGATCGGAACATGATTGAAATTGAGAGGATTCCGGATCAGAGAGCAGTTAAGGTAGGTGTGACTTGCTGCCTGCAGAACGTCCTGCCAGTTTGTGCCAGAGGTTGGTTCCCCAACGTTCCTGGGCTGCAGACAGGGTGGAGCCAGTCTGGGCTAGACTAAGTGGGCTTTGGCTTAGGAGCCAGGTTGGTGGGCTGAGGAAGAAAGGAGGCTTACTGTGGGCGCCTAAGGGTGTGGAATTGAGGTACTGAGGTCCTCGGCAGGGGCAGGGGCCGGGACGGTTAGTGACCTTGCTTAAGGAAGGATCTGCTGGCTGTTACCTGGGAGCAGAGGGAGTTGTTTTGAGGGCGCCATTGGCCCTGTTATCATTACCCAGCACCCTCCTACCCAGGGCTAATGCTCACTAGCATGAGGACTGGAGGTAAGGGATGACAGCCAGGCCACTGGAGGGAGGACAGGCCTCTATCTTGCCTAGAACTGTCCTTGCAAAATGGCTAGTTAGAGAATCGGTGCCTTGAAGACAGATGTGGTGGTTCACACCTGTAATCCCAGCARMTCTGGAGGCCGAGACAGGAGGATTGAAAGTTCAAAGCCAGCCTCAGCAAATTAGCAAGGCCCTTTCTCAAAAAAAATATAAAAGAGGGCTGGGGTGTGTCTCCGTGGTTAAGCGCCCCTGGGTTCAGACCCCGGTACCCTGTGCTTTGAGAGTGCGAAAAGGGAGGAGAGCTGAGTGGGCAGGGAGGGGCTGGCACCACGGAGATGAGACCCAGGTGGGAGGCACTCATGCCCGGGACATCCTTCCGCCACCCTCCCACCACAGACCCCCCCTCCTGCTCCTCCTCAGTCCACGCCCAAGCCAGGAGCCAGCTGGCTAGGGCAGCCATGTCCCCACCTGCCGTCATTTTCACACCTTTCAAAACGGTTTTAATTTTGAATTTAGACTTTCAGAAAAGTTATAAAAATACAGTTTGCACATATTCTCACTATCAAACAAAGTRTGTGTTTGGGGGCAGAGAAGGCAGAATACTCCAGAGGCTGGGCATGGGGTGGGGTGCACCCTGTCGTCCCAGCTCAGGAGGCTGAGGCAGGAGGACAAGGCCAGCCTCATCAACCTCAGTAACTTAGTGAGAACTTGTCTCAAAATGTAAAAAGGACTGGGATCTAGCTCAGGGGTAAAGTTAAATCCTCAGTACCAAAAATAAAAAAATAARTAAAATCTTTAAAAAAAGAAAGAAAGAGGGAAGATTTCAATACTCAGTATATATACCCAGATACACAGAGGGCCCTTCCAGAGGACTAACCTTTATATCTTTGGCCAAGTTTCCCTTGATGAAAGAGCATCGTGCAGATCTGTTTGTGTTTATTCTTGTGCCCCCATTTCTTGATGCACCCACAATGCACCTTGGCTGTGGTTCTCCCACTCTTCTTCTTTTTTGGGGGGATGCTGGGGATTGAACCCGGGGTGCTTTACCACTGAGCTACATCACCAGTCCTTTTTATTTTTTATTGTGAGACAGGGTCTTGCTCAGCTGCTGAGGCTGGCCTCAAGCTCTGATTCTCCTGCCTCAGCCTTCCCAGTTGCTGGGATCACAGGTGAGAGCCACTGTGCCTAGGTGAACATTGAAATCTTAATGAATAGTTGGAGAAACTTTTAAATTTTTCTCTTTGGAGCTGAAGATGGAACTCAGCCTCCCACATGTAAGCACATGCTCTCTCTGAGCTAAAACCCCAACCTCTAAATTTTTTACTTAAATTTTCAGTTTTATAAATTAAAGATYTTTTGTGTTTAAGAACACCAATCACTGTTTACCTAGACATGCAAGAGCATATTCCCGAATTTCTACTGGAAATTCACACTAAAGGACCAGATAACCCTCAGAACAAGTGAAAACTTCTCTTTTCCTTTTATTTAGGTTAACTTCTTAAAACCACCCCCTTCTTTTAACTTTGAGGAATTTTTCACGAAATGTATGACCTTCATGGATTATTATCCTGGTGAACACAAAAGTAAGTACCCTCCATGTAGGTGACCCCTTGCCCCTCAACACAASTCCCGGTCCTACCAGCAACCCAGGGACCTGCTTCGCGTCCCCTAGAAGAGCAGTTCTAAGTAGCACCCTCTCCCTGGACACTGGTCCCCACCCTCATCTTCCAAGCTTTGGCTGAGTTTCCCTTGACGAAAGAAAAAGTGAAGCCTCTTTGAATCCGACTCAAGCCTCAGACCTCTCTCAAGAGCATYGTGCGGATCTGTTTGTGCTTGTCCTTGTGCCCCATTTCTTGACACAGCCACAGTGCACCTTGGCTATGGTTCTCCACTCTTCAGTCCTCTATTTCTTCTTTATTTTAGTTGTTTGGAGGCTGGGTTGTGCTGGGTTGCCTGGCTCACCACAGCTGGGCTCCAGCCATCCTCCTGCTTCAGCCTCCTGAGMAGCTGGGTCAGGCGTGCCCAGGCTGAGCCACTGACACCTTGTCCCTGCTCTCAAGCTTCTGCCCTCTTCCCTGTCTGGAGCTGCTTCTCGGCCACCAGTAAGCCCAGCTCAATGGCTTCCTCTCCAGCCTCGCCCGAGGTGGTTCATCTCAGATTGCTCTTTTTCTTGAGGCTGTTTCTCCATTTCCTCATCAGAGGACAAAATTACAACAATTTAGAGATCACCATTGGCTGTAGTCGGCGAGTCCAGAATCCACAACACCTGGTTCCATCAAGGAGAGCAAGCGTTCTGAGGAGGGGTGCAGACCGAGTTGGTTTTGTAAAGAGAAAAGGGCTGTGGAAGCAGGATCAAAGCAGAACAAGCGTCTGGTCATTTCAAAGTGACTTTCTTGGGAAGCAGGGCCAAGGAGACAGACAGAAAAATAGCATCCATCAGCCTCGAGCGCCTTTTCATGTGTCAATTGTGCCAATTGACACTGCTCTGTTGGGAGAGTTGGCTGATCCCTCTTGTCCTGATTCTCCCAGGTYAGAGACGCAGCTTGGTTTCAGCTGGGGACCTGGAGCTTCATGACAAGTGGCTCCCTTTTGACCTAGCCCCGTCAGGCCCCTGGARGAGCTTAATCCAAAACAAAGGCCTCCTGTTTCTTTCAGCAGTCACCAGCCCGTCCCACCCTCCTGCTGTCCTTGCCTGTCATTCCTGCCCTTCTGCCCTTCTGACCGCATCCTCCTCTAGGGTCATGCGCTCTGTCCACTCCCACCCCTTTGGCTGTAGCTTTAGATGAAGCCCAGAGGCATCACCTCCCCAAGTTCCAAAGCACGATGAAAGTGAGATCGAGGTTTAGAGCTACATGCAGCTGAATTTTGGGAAACCCAAGCCTGGAAGAACGTGGGTGTCCCTTGGCCAAGGGACCRGAGCCTCCCTTGCTAAGTCCACCCCTCCTCCTGCCCTCCTAGACTTCCTGAGGCTTGCCTGCATCCTGGATTCTGATCCTAAACTGGAGATGTCCCTACAAAAGTATGTGATGGAAAACATTTTGAAGCAGGTATGTTCATAATTGAATTTTTGGCTTTTACTAATGGCTAGTAAAATTGTCTAGTGAAATTAGAACATTCTGTATATGGAGATGGCAAACTTGAAATTCATTATTCAAACCAGGAGACTACCTAGGTTGGGATGTTGGGCGTAGCTCAGTGGCAGACAGCTTGCATAGCATGTGCGAGGCCTTGGGTTCAGTCCCAGCACACAAAAAAGATGAAAGTGGCCTTATTCGTAGATCCACTGTGACAACAAGCATCAACCAGAGGCCAGGTGCCGTGGGGCCCACCTATAATCCCAGCGGCTTGGAAGGCTGAGATAGGAGGATCTCAAGTTCAAAGTCAGCCTCTGCAGGAAGGCCCTAAGCAACACAGTGAGACCCTGTCTCTAAATAAAAAAAAAAAAAAAGGGCTGGGGGTGTGGCTCAGTAGTTAAGCCCCTGGATTCAATCCCCAGTACAGTACAAAAAAGAAAGAAAGAAAGAAAGAAAGAAAGAAAGAAAGAAAGAAAGAAAGAAAGAAAGAAAGAAAGAAAGAAAGAAAGAAGAAAAGAAAAGCATCAGCCAGGCTATGTTGCCGTATGCGACTGGACAGGCAGGAGGAGCTGCAAGCAGGTGATGCAGGAGCACTCGTTCTGGGTGCCACAGGGCACACTGGAATACGTGAGTGTCAGGGCAGCGTCTCTCCAAGGCCCTTGCATTAGTTTTGAGACTTAACAGTACAGATAATTAGAACTCTTTAAACTACCCTCACCTCCCCAAAGCTTCCCTTTCCATTCCCTTAGATCTGGACTTTCAAATCCACGAAGCCGGGCTGGGGATGTGGCTCAAGTGGTAGCGCGCTCGCCTGGCATGCGTGCGGCCCGGGTTCGATCCTCAGCACCACATACMAACAAAGTTGTTGTGTCCGCCGAGAACTAAAAAATAAATATTAAAAAAAATTTCAAATCCACGAAGCCACGGGAATCCCAACTAACTCTCAGCACTCGCCACATGCTGGTCACTCTGCTATTGCATTTACTTATTTATTTAGGTACCAGGGACCAAACCTAGGAGCACTTTACCTCTGAGCTACATCCTTTTTTATTTTTTTATTTTGAGACAGGGTCTCGCTAAGCTGTAGAGGCTAGCCTCRGACGAGCTGCCCCAGTCCCCCGAGTAGCTGGGATTGCAGGCTGTACTGTCATGCCCAGCATAACCCTGTTGCACATGTGAGAAAACTAGTACTCCTGTGGTATAAGAGGTGCTGCTGGGATTTCGACCCTGGTCTGAATGAATACTATAGTTTGGGCGTGGGCTATCCACTGTCCTGACGTACATCTGTTTTAATCCTATCAAAATGCAGTTGTGTCCTCCAGGACATTTTTGTACGAGCAGCTTGACCTGTGATCAGAGGTCTTCGTGGTGTGTATTAGAAAAGGTATTAGAACACAAAAAAAAGGTATTGAAAAGGTATTAGAACACACCTTCCACGGTCAGCCCAGTGTGGAAACTGCCTGCAGTGTCAGGGGCTGGGGCTGCGGGGCAGAACCACTCAGCAAGGCCCAAGAGCCGGTCATTGTCTGCAGCCAGGGAAGGAGCAGGAGCACTGGGACCACCCCATCTCCCCCAGGCAGGGCGCTGGCCAGCAGAGTTTGGGTTGGGAAAAMGCCCACATACTCACATCACACACGGAGGAGGGCACCTTCCTGAGACCTGCAGCTCCAGGTCATGGTCACCTGTCCAAGAACCCAGGCGGGGACACCTCGGGGGAGAATTCATTATTATAGAGTCCTTTCTGGGTCCTGTAGAAGGAGTGAGCCGGCGACTCTGACTCCGCGATCAGGGCTGGTTCCTTGCAAGCTTCTCTGCAGGGCTGCGTCTGCCCCAAACAGAGCACCAAACATCTTGTAAGGAGCACAGCTGACGACAGGGGTGGTTGCCCCTAAAGTCGCCTGCCTAGCAGCAAATGCTGGTGTTGCTGTTGTCCTACCCTGGAGAAAGTCACTTCCTACACCCGTCCCCACCGCCCCAAGGGACATAACCAATTATGCTTTATTTGGGGCAACCAGGTGGGAACAAGGTCTGCAGGAGGGATAGGGAACCAGGGTGACTCCCAGGGAAAAGGGGCACTCGMGGGTGATAACGAAGGGACACCTGGTAAGAGGTCCAAGTATATGTGCGCTCCTGACTTCCCTGCCACCTGTGGATGACTTGCAGCAGAGAGGGGACCTAGATGAACTACCGGAGAGGCAGGAGCTGGTGCCGCGTGCACTGCTGGAGTAGGGTCTGCAGAGTTGGATTCTAGTCTGCGGCTCTCTCCTTACAGGACCTTGGGGGAATTGTGACACTTCTCCATGTATTATCTGATCTGTAAAATGGGAAAAATAAGACTGATTTTATTTTGCCTGAAGAGAGAGAGAATGTAATGTGAAAATCTTCCAGAAGCCACAGGGTTATGAAAAGGCTGAATTACACAGTGCACTTTTGTTTGCTTCTGGAGGTGCTGGGAAGGCATCCAGGGCTCTTTGCATGCTAGTCAGGAGTTCTACCAGGGCTGCAACCCCAAGCCCTAGCTTGACAGTCTTATCCCACTGTCAGAAAAAGAGAGGCCATGAGAACAGCAGCTCCTCCCCCTGTCCTGAGGCCTCACAATGGCATGTGGGAGCCGGTCCCTGGGGAGATGGAGTGGTTGCTGGCTGGACATCCCAAGGGGTAGACCCCACTCCAGGCCACTCCCATCAGTCAGCTCCGGGAGGCTGGCTCTGCGGGTGACCTCACACACCCTGACAGCTTCAGCTTCCTGGCCTCTCCAGGCTGCTTTCCTCCCAGGGACAATCCAGGTGTGGGGCGGGGGTGGCGTAGCCAGGAAGGGTCCACCGCAAGGGCCCAGAAAGCTGCTTTGTACCCTGCAGATCGACGACAAACAACTTGGGGGTTATTTGTCTGAGCTTCGCCCGGTGACGATTGTGTTCGTGAACCTGATGTTTAAAGAGCAAGACAAAGCAGAGGTCATAGGCACGGCCATCCAGGATGCCTGTGTGCACATCACTTCTGTCCTGAAGGTCTTCCGAGGCCAGATCAATAAAGTCTTCATGTTCGACAAGGTAAACATGAGCTAAGGGATGGGACCTGCCAGCAGTTGAGGTCCATGGCCAAGCTTGTTGGCCAGTGGAGGGGACAGACAGGTGGAAATCTGACCTGAGGTGTCAGTCTCTGTGCCTGGCACCCGCTGGGCACTGCCCCRGTACTTTGCACACGTGCACTCCTTTCCTTCTCGCGACTGCTCCAAGCAATAGGTGCTGCTGTCGTGGTCCCCATTCTGGAGGCCTGGATCCTGAGACAAGTGGGGACAGGGCTCAGACCTGGGCGGCCTGCCTTCCCGGTCTGCTCCCCAGGCTCAGCTCCCTCTCCCTGCTCCTACGGCTCCAGCCCACTGCGTAAGGTGATTCCCAGGGATTTAGGGCCGAGCTAGGAAGTGCGTCCCTGGGAGCTGGTTCCTGTGGGGCCGCCTGCCACATCAGGGACCCCACCTGCCACCTCAGGGCCCCACCTGCCACATCAGGGACCCCACCTGCCACCTCAGGGCCCCACCTGCCACATCAG